AAATAATATTTTAATATAATTCATGATATAAAAAGGAAGGTAAAATTTTCAAAATATTCTTTATTCTAAACCACAAAATCATGTTGTTTTAGGATTCCAATAGATAATCTTTTTATCTCCGGTAATAGTAAAAATACTTTGAGTAAATATCATTTTCGATCCTCAGCAAATTTTATGGTACCCTTTTTAGTCCCTAGTAAATAAAAAGGCTATTCGTGGTTCCTAAGAAATTCAAAATGGATTCATTTTAGTCATTTTGAGGGGACTAATGTGGGTCTTTTTTGAATTTATGAGGGACAACGATTTCAACTAAATTGATCCTTTTTGAATTTCTTAGGGACTACGAATAGCCGTTTTATTTGCTAGGGACTAAAGCGAGTAATCGTGAAATTGCTGATGACTAAAAAGGGTACTTACTCAAATACTTTTCTAATAAAAGTATTGTAAAATTAATATTAATATGATTAAGACCATAAGTGTAGGGGAAAGGGATTAGAGAAGAAGGCAAGAAGCTTCGTAGGCTGGTTTGATTTCTTGGTCACGACAATCATGACTCGCTCCTAAGTCCTAACATCCAAATATTATTATTAAGGAAAAGAAAAGCTAATCTTTTTGAGTAATAGGATTACGGATTCCAAGTATAAAGGAGTTCAACACTAACCTTTTACCTTTCTTTCCTTTTTAACAATAAAATAATATTAAAAAACTCTACCTTAAAATAAAGAGAGTTGGTCTACATATGCTCCAAGCACAATAAATATTGAAACCCGAAAGGATACGTTTCGTCGAACAATATCACTTATTCAAGTTTACACAAATATTCAAAAATTAAAAGGTATTATGTTTCTCATTTAAATGATAGAGAAATTTTCTCATACATACACAAAGTATAATGTGGATCCCACTAAATAAAGAAAAGAGAAAAATACAAAATGGGAACCATGTTGCATTTTTTTTTGTATGAGAAAATTTCTCTCACATGTAACATAAAAAAAAAAATCCAAAATTAAAATGATTAAATACATGGCTAAAGTGACTCTTGAGAGTTACTATCTCCAACCACAGAGACAACAAATCATGTGTATTCCACATTTTAAAAAAAAAAATTAGTGTTTCTTCGAGATTATTATAATCAAGGTAGTTAAAATTCAATTTTTACCTAAAAACAGAAGAAGGATAAAAAATTATAAAATGTAAAATTATAATAAGAAAAATCACAAAAAAAAAAAAAAAAAACTTGGAATATTGGTGAATATGTTTTGATGAAAAAAAAATCGTAAAAATATAAAAAAGCAACTATAATTCTAATTTTTAACTAGCATGATTACCAATAGAAAGCACACAGACACATAGTGAAGAACTATGTTGCACCGACATCGACGCGATAGGATACTCCGACATGTTAATTCGAAAATATGTAACAAATGTAATATTTGTTTCATTTGAGCTTGTTGAGTTGTATATTTTTTTATAATTGGAAAGATTTAATTTCAGATTTGATTGACCAATTTATGTAGCAATAAAGGAAATCCGTTACATGGAGAGATTGTAGGAATTATGTGGAGAGATTTTAGGAGTTTTTAATTCCTTGATTATTTGTAATTTTCTTCCTTGATTTATGGCTGATTTGTAGCCTGATTTATGATTTATGATTTATTTGTAACTCTAATACTTTATATATAATGACATCTATTGAGGTAGAAATAATACAAATGAATTATTATTCTATAGAATTCCTCGATTTGTAACATGGCTCTAGATTTTCTGGACTCATCTTTCACACTAGATCCAATTAAATTTTAGTGAAAGAGAAAAACAAATACAATCTTTAATTGAAGAATGTTTTTTTTTTTTTGATTTTAAAGAAAAATATAAGCAACGATATCACCTAATAGCTTAAATTGGTAATTGAAACCAATTCACCTAACAATTTAATTATGCATTATGCATCATATAATAGAAAACTTTAAAATTATTTAATTTTATGATTTGAAACTTAAACAAGGCCCACGGATAATAAGTATTTTTAAAGTATGGATGTTCCAAACTCTACCTTGTTTGATTAGCCTTGCTGTTACATAATATTTTTACAATTTGATTTTTTTAAAAATATTAATACTTTAAGCATAATATTTCATATTTCATATTAAAATAAGTTTATTTAGAATATATTTTAGTTCTAGTTTTTATATATTTTATAATTTAATTATGCATCATGTTTAAATTTATATATTTTGTAAAAATCTCAAGTTGTCAAAATATAGGACCATACACCTATTGCAATTTGCAATTTTCGAAAACTTAACATGATCCACACTTGCATTCCCTAGTCACCACCATCACCGTCCATTGAGAATACAACGCAGATTAGGCAAAGTCACCACCGTGAAAAAACAGGACATCACGTGAACCACCCTCTCTCACCTTTACTTAGCGCTTACACAATCAGAATTTCGGGATCGTTACCATAGAAAGCACACAGACACACAGTGAAGAAGACAAACCAACGAAAATACCAGACACCAATGTTACTACGAGGAGCACAACCAAAAAAATATTAATTTAATGTTTTTAATAAATAATTACGTATTAATAGTTGTTTTGGAAATTATTACATATTTATTGCACAATATCACGTTCAATTTGGGCGTCACAAATCACGCCTAATTTAGGCGTCATTAGAGGGACAGTCACGCCTAATTTGGATATCACTCATTCGATGTCGACACGTGTCACATTTGTTTTATTTCAAAAAAAAATTAACAATTTAATCGTAAAACTTCTTTTGATTCGGGTATCCGAATCAGGTAATTTTTTTTTGATTCCACATAACTTTTCGAGATCTACGTAATGACACCTCATTTGACATATTTTATCTCTCAAAAATATAATTTGAATTTGCAACAATGAGACTTTATCGTATAATCGTTAGATTGTGACCCAAAAAATTAATTATTAATAATTAATTAATAAGGGTGACCCAATAAATTATAATCATTAGATTGACAACAATTAACGATTAAAATTTAGTAATAAATTATCCCATGTGGCAATCATGAGAATTGATGGCTCCTTCTTGACGAAGGATTTTTTTATTATAGACCCGGCCCACAATTTTTTTGGTGCACCTTTTCCCAAAACGGAAAAAATTTCTTCCGCACCATGTTTCTCCAAACCTTTGCCTATATATTCTCCAAACCGCGTTTCTCTTTCGTCCAACTAAGAGCAACTACATATAGCTACACACATCGAGAATTTTCGGATCGTTAGGACCAGACATGGGCAATTGTTGTGGCACCTCGTTCGATTCCACGCACGTTCCGATGGCGAAGGTTGTCGTGCACGACGAAAGGTTGCTGGAATTCTCGTACCGGGTTAAGGTTTCATACCTGTTGCAGATGTACCCAACGTGCTTTATATGTGACTCTGACCAGATGGGATTCGACGACGTCGTTAAGGCGGTTCACGAGGACGAGGTTTTGACACCCGATCAGCTGTATTTCGCTCTCCCGTTGACCCGGTTGAAGCGGCCCTTGCTGGCGGAGGAGATGGTTGCGTTGGCGGTGAAGGCTGCTTTAGCTCTCGCCAAGATTGGTGGTGTTGGTGGTGACAAATGTGGCTCTCGCCGGAAACAGATTATGTTTTTCTCCGGCGAAGGAAACGCTAAACCTTGCCGGAAAGTGGCGCTGGAATATGGTGGTGCGGGCGCTCCTATTGATTCGTCTAGGAAAGGAAATAGTAGAAGTAGTGGTGGCGGTCGCCGTGGTCGGCGAAAGTTTACACCGGTGCTGAGTTCCATACCGGAGCAGGAGTGTATATATTGAAGGAAAAAGAAAATGTTTTAATTTTTGAACAATGGAAGAGATTACATTGCCAGAGTTACAACCAGCCTTTTCTTCTTCTTCTCCTTCTTTTCGTTTTCTTTTAATTTATTGGGACTATACGTATTTAACTAACATCATTTTACCCGAAAAAAAAGCATAATTCGCTTCTTTTTTTTTTTCTTGAAGTCTAAATGTTTTAAGTAAGATTAGACATTGATATCTCAATAGCATAATGAAAGACCAGCAATTTTTTTTTTGAAGATTTCATCAGGAATTATATATTATTTACTAATAAAATCTCTTTACATCAGTAGTAGGGGTTCGAACTTTGAACCCACGTCCTTTATGACCCAAACTTTTAACCGAATATGACTCGGATCATAACTCGTTTATCATGCTAACTTTTTTCTTTCTCGCGTTTTACAGCAGATGAGATATATGTACATGATTTGTCTTAATTTCAAGAGTACTAATCATGCGTAATCATAATCAATACTATAATCGTAACATATATCCATGAAGAGAAGAGATTGATTTTTGTTTGTTCTTTAAGATCAATTTTAATAACTTCTAAGCGTGAAATTAATTAACGCTAATTAATTTCACACTTAGAAGTTATTAAAATTGATCTTAAAGAACAAACAAAAATCAATCTCTTCTCTTCATGGATATATGTTACGATTATAGTATTGATTATGATTATGCATGATTAGTATTCTTGAAATTAAAACAAATCATGTACAGATATCTCATCTGCTGTAAAAGGCGAGAAAGAAAAAAGTTAGCATGATAAACGAGTTATGATCCGAGGCATATTCGGTTAAAAGTTTGGGTCATAAAGGACGTGGGTTCAAAGTTCGAACCCCTACTATTGATGTAAAGATTTTATTGGAAAATAATATATAATTCCTGATGAAATCTTCAAAAAAAAATTCTGGTCTTTCATGATGCTATTGAGATATCAATGTCTAATCTCACTTAAAACATTTAGATTTCAAGAAAAAAGAAGAAGCGAATTATGCTTTTTTTTCGGGTAAAATGCTGTTAGTTAAATACGTATAGTCCCAATAAATTAAAAGAAAACAAAAAGAAGGAGAAGAAGAAGAAAAGACTGGTTGTAACTCTGGCAATCTAATCTCTTCCATTGTTCAAAAATTAAAATATTTTCTATTTCCTTCAATATGTACACTCCTGCTCCGGTATAGAACTCAACACCGGCGTAAACTTTCGCCGACCACGGCGATCGCCACCACAGGGACCGCCAGCACTACTTCTACTCTTTCCTTTCCTAGACGAATCAACATGAGCGCCCGCACCACCATATTCCAGCGCCACTTTCCGGCAAGGTTTAGCGTTTCCTTCACCGGAGAAAAATATAATCTGTTTCCGGCGAGAGCCACATTTGTCACCACCAACACCACCAATCTTGGCTAGTGCTGAACCAGCCTTCACCGCCAACGCAACCATCTCCTCCACCGGTAAGGGCCACTTCAACTGGGTCAACGGGAAAGCGAAATACAGCTGACCGGGTGTCAAAACCTCGTCCTCGTGAACCGCCTTAAGGACGTCGTCGAATCCCATCTGGTCAGAGTCACATATGAAGCATGTTGGGTACATCTGCAACAGGTACGAAACCTTAACCCGGTACGAGAATTCCAGCAACCTTCCGTCGTGCACGACAACCTTCGCCGTCGGAACGTGCGTGGATTCTCAAGTCTTATGGAAGTCATTCAAGTTCCCCAAGTCTCTTGTGGATAACTTATCTTTTGCAGAGATAATGAATCCTATTAGCTTGTCATAAGGGTTGCAATTCAGGTCAACACAACACAACGTGACACAAATTTGACATAAGCACAAAAATGCTCAACACGAACACGACACAAATTTGAAATCAGGTTAAAACCTTTGTCACAAACACGACCAAGGGCCATATATTAACAACAACTACCCCATTAATGAAGAAGATCCTGGAAGAAGACCAAGAGGCATTCCTTGTCTATAAAAAGGATAAAAATATTTGGACATTATATTCTTTTATATTATACTATTCTTTTGGATTCTTTCTTCTATATTATAATGTAAAAGACTTCTATATTATATCAAAGCTGGGATATTATTGCTATGGCCAATATAAGTTGTCGCTCAAAATCTTGAATTTTTATACTTTGTACCTACACAAATTATCGCTCCAAAACTAGGATTTTCTTACCCTGCGGATGCAAAAGTTGTTGCTTCAATTTCAATTGTCCGCCTTCCGAGCTCTTCTTTTTTTATATCTCGTGGGTCTATCAGATACGGTTGTCTCTCTTCATAAGTTTGTGGTTTGATTTCCAAAGAAATCTTTTAATGAGTCCAAGCTTGTACTATTTTGAAAATAGGTCAGTGACGGATTTAGAGATGGAATATGCATTTTTGTCTCTAATTCCGTTACTATTAGAGACAAAAACATTCCTTCTCTATTAGTGAGGGATCTTATTCCATTTCTAGTAGAGACGATTATTTTCTGTTCATATTTGAGACAAAAGTGATCTATTTCTATTAGAGATGAATTTTGAGACGGATCATTTACTTTTGTCACAAAATCTGTACCAAATAGAGACACAAAATTTTTCATCTCAAATAGGGATGAAATAGAATCCCTCACCGATAGAGATAAAACAATTCCATCTCTATCAATGATGGAATTGGAGACGGAATATTTATTTGTGTCTCTAATTCCGTCACTGCTAGAGAAGGAAAAAGTTTCATCGCTATTAATGATGGATCTTGTTCCATCCCTAAGAGAGTCAGATTATTTTTTGTCCCTATTTGAAATGAAAAGTAATGTGTCTCTATTAGAGACGGATTTTGAGACAGGTCATTTACTTTCGTCTCAAAATCTGTCCCAAACAGAGACACATTACTTTTCGTCTCAAATAGGAACAAAAAGTAATTCGTCTCTCGTAGGCATGGAACACGATCCCTGACTCATAGAGACCAAAAAATATTCGTATCTATCAGTGACGGAATTAGAGATGAAAATAAATGTTACGTCTCTAAATCTATCACTGATAGAGATAAAAAAAATCTGTCACTAAATTCCGTCACTAAATCCCAATGTATCCACTTAATACTATCATTATTTTCTATATATTAAGTTCTGTCTCGAAATCTATCTCTATTAGAGACAAAAAAAAATAGTCGTCTCTATTAGGGACAGATTTAGAGACGAAACTCTGCCTATTAGAGAAGGATTTATTTTTCGGTTCTAAATCTGTCAATAACGGAGACAGAAATATTATCGTCTCTAATTCCCTCCCTATTTATGAGGGATTGTTATTCCTTTTCTGAATTCGTCCCTTTTAGAGATGGATATTTTTCCGTTTCTAAATTCCGTCTCTAATCAATGCTTTTTTAGTAGTGTTAATTGATTGAAAGCAAGTGCGCGCTTTCCCGCTGAGCTGGTGGTGATTGGAACAATGTGTAAATCTTAATTATTTTACTTTATTTTTTTATTAAAAAGGAAATAATTTCTTGAATAAAAAAATGGTATGGTTAAGATTTGATCCTTAGTATATTGCCTTCGTTATCTTGCTGCTGCTGACTCATTAGATGTTTACCTTTTTTTTTCTACAAGTTCTATTCGAGCTTAATCCCTAATGAGTTTGGGTTTTGTTTTGCAATTTACTCGTCTACCTCCTAGTGATTGAGTCAAATTATTTAAATATGTAGTTTTGAATAAGAAATTTTATACCGTTAAGAAAAGCTATAATCTTTAGGACACGATCGTTTTATTATAGATAATCACTTACCTACGTATAACGTAATAAAGGGATTCTATGGAAAAAAAAAAAAAACGTCTGCCATAAAGAATAGTGAAACGTTAAATTCTACTAAAACAATAGTTTAATAATATTTCAATTACTTAAGGAAAAAGAAAAATATTTAAAAAGATATTATGCAGTGTTATGAAACCCGGCCTAACCCAAAATTAGGTGAACCGATCATCGGATCGATTCGAGTCAAGTATCGGATCGACCATGTATTGAACCAGGTCAAACCGGAAAAAAAAGATGACCCGATCGGGTCATGCAATTTTATAAAACAAAATAAAAAATCAAAATTATTTCATCTTGTAAAAAAAATGTAGAACTCATTTTAATTTTTTTTTGTGATTTTATTTACTAATAGTATACTTTTCTAAAATGACCTCAAATTTCAGCTTCTAATACTGGAGCAATTTGCAGAACAATAAATTAAGAGAATGTGACATATGTCATTTCAATGTAGAGGAATTTGAAAAATATGATTTCACAACATTTGTTCTTTTGAATGTCATTGAAAGATATGCTTATAGATATTATAAGTTGCAATTTAAATTGACAGAGTAATAGCATGCATTTTTATTTTTTTGTGCTTATGAACTTGTAAAAGTGTGATTGAATAATTTTTGAACTTATTCAATGAAGTTTGTTTAATTCATTTTAAATACGGAGAATATAATTAAATTTATATGTTCATATTTATATATATTTATATATATCTGGATCAACTGAGCCGACCAGTAACCTATCAGTCCGACCAATAACCTACCGGTCCAACCAGTGACTCAGTGACACAGTATCTTGACCGGATCTATGCACATGTAGGGTTTAATAACACTGGTGTTATGGTTAATATTATGAGAAATCATTTTCTCATATTGTTGGAGATTACTTTCTCATGTTGTGAGGTATCGAAATCTGTGCTATTATCTTTTAATTTTTGTTAACAAGTGATGGATTTCATCTCTTATTGTATCTATGATATGAGAGATATTGGCTCATGTGATATAAGAAAAGAGAAGCCCTAATATTATTAAGAGTTTAATTTTAATATTATATTTTAACCTATTCTTCTTTTTTTAAGTAATTAACAAATATTTTATATTAAAAGAAGTGACAGTATGTAAGAAAAAAAGTGACGGTGATGAAATCACATAAAACCCTCAACCACACAAGTGGTCGAATCGAAACATTCAGCCTTTACTTTTGCATTGAGATGTGTACTTTATTATTAAACAAAAAGTTACACGGATCTGGATCTTCTCATGTGAAAGTTCACATGATCATGTCATGTGAGGAATTATAACCATATAAAGATGGATCAATGGTAATAAAGGAGGAGAGAGAAAAATGTTAAAATAGGTAGTTACGAAATCATAACCGTTGATTTACCTTTGTATGGTTGTGATCAACTCACATGATCATATCATATATTTTTCTCCACATGAGAGGATCCATTTCCAAGATACACAGACACAAAAGCTCTATAGCAGGGGTGCTAAACGAATCAAGAACCTTTCAGGGGCCTTTAGCTCGGCTCGTGAATGCCTGAATTTAGATGTCTAAAATTGGTTGTTGACACCAAACTTAAACTTGTATAAAAGCTCATTTAATAAAAAGGCATCAAGCTTCGATTCAAAAGTTCGGCCTTAGAGCCTCTCAGGCTTGCCTAATATATATGTATATATATATATATATATATATATATATATTATATTTTTTATACTACTTGTAATAACCCTCTTTTTCTCCTCAATCCATTTCATCTTATTTTATTGGTTAGATAGATTTTTTGAATGATTTTGTTCTATATTATGCTATTTGGATATACATGTAAGCAATTTAATCTATAATTCATGTTCAACAACAATCACATCAAGAACATGAAAGAGGATCTTTAGAATTCATGAATTTCACATAAACATACCTTTGTCCATAAATGCGGAAGATCTTTAATGGTAGAATACTTTCTCATAGTCTTGACCCTTTTATGTTCTTGTATCTTCTTCTGATAGGGATGGGATACAACGCTCATAAGCAGACTCAGATGGATAGTCAGTTTCTCAAAAGACCCATTTATAAGAAAACTCCTCATTACTCTTAACATAACTGCACCTATCAACAGTTACCTTTTTTTTTAAATAACTTCCTTAACATTCAATTACCATTATGCCCTTTTTATTAATTAAATCAAATGACACTTAATATTATACATTAGACAAATAAGGTTTTACATTCTCCCACTTGGCTCATGTCATGAGGTGTCCCTTCATGATTTAATGAAAATTCATTATAATGCGCATTTACTAGGCTAAAGGTTCCATACATTGACCTCATCATAATTCATCATTAGAAATAAAATCAACATGACTCATGGCGGTTCTATGCTATCAAGTCGGCATAGTCCCTTCCATGTACCACTATATTGACTTTTCTTCCTAACATGATACTTTAATAGGAAGTACACATTATGTCCAACAATAATGTCTTCATTACGGACCATAAATATTTTCAATATCATTACATATACTTGCATGTATACATAAATTGAAAACAAGACAATATCAGAAACATATATTCATCAATGAGCTCAGAGTGTCAACATTTAATACATAACAATAAGTATCATCATTCACTAGCTGACATAATGCCCATTCTACATACATGACCAGTAAACGTCTTGGGCGGTAATCCCTTCGTCAAGGGATCATCTATCATAAGATCGGTGCTAATATGCTCTATAGACACTCTATGCTTCTGAACCTCTTCTTCAACGACAAAGTATTTCAATTCCATATGTTTAGCACCTTTGGA